TATGTTTTTTAAGTTTAATATTTAAAGTCCATTAAAGGTCCAAACCGACTAAACCGGTCAGACCAGACCGCCTTTTCGTGGTCTGGTTTGACCGGTCTGGGCACTTGATGTCAAACCGCTCGGTTTGAAAATTTTATAAACCGCCATTACGGTTTGGTTTGTGGTTTAAGGGGTTAAACCGCCCAAACCAGACCGCGAACACCCCTACGTTGTTTATTCAAATCATTCACTCAAACTTAGTATGGCCGTAGAAGAAATTCGAGAACATTTATATTTTAATAAGTTTAACATTTTCAATGGGGATATCAATTCATTGATCCAAATCCTTACATCATAGAAAAGAAAATAGAAGTAGAAACGGAGAATGTCTGCTGCATTTTCAATGATATTGGGTGAATTTCATGTTAGGGCACTCTTATGGAATTGGTGTCGTTACACGATGAGAGATATATAGTTTTTGATACATCTTCTTGTTTGAATCCCATAGTTGTTTTTGTAATTACTATGGATTTTGAGGAAATCAACACTTGTATATGTTCTTTATCTTAATAAGAATGATACACATGTACATACTAAACTCACCTTTTTGTGTAAGTTTTTCTCAATTTCCCTTCTTTGTTTCCATGATCTTTTTGATGCTTACTATGGATTTTGAGAAAATTAACAATCATTTTGGGTTTTCCTCTTTTGGGTGTTTGTTTCATAAATTTCTCATAACCTTTTGACACGGTGGACAACAAAGACGGTTGTAGTCAGGGGAGTCCAAAATGGAATTGGTTCTTGATTTATTGCTCATATTAAAGCTTGTCCTAGCTTCAACAATTTATCTCTATGCCATAAAACTCATATTTATTTTTGTTGAACGAACTATTGTCTAGTTATTGATTCATTCCCAAACAAACTATAGGCTACTTTTATTTTTAGCAAAAGATTGTTGTCACATCTACTAAAAAAATGTATAAATGTGTTGTATAGTTAACTACATAAGCTACATTGTTGCTCAATTTGACGTGAAACTCCTTAGTTTGAGATATGTAAATAGTTTATTGTGTTTTTCATAATATATATTCTTGAAAATAAAGTCAATTAATATTTAATTCGGTGACATACAAACCATTGTGATCGTTGACAAATTGATAAAAAAAGAATCTTAGTTGCTCTATAATCATGTTGTTTTGTAATACATGCACACATTTTGAATCAAAAGATTTGTAATTTTAATGAAGAATCATATTATGTAGATTCGTTTTCGTAGTTTGGTGTTGGTTGATCTTCTTGTTTGATTCAAATTTCTAGAGTTACTGTCCCCACAACATTCTTTTTTAATGAGGATTGAGTAATAGGTCTAGTGATTTCTCATTCTCAACATATATCCAGTTATCCATTATGGATTTCAAAGGGTTAGTTTTGACCTTAAGTGACATATTACACTAACCTAATGGAAAACATATTACAATAGGGATGACAAAAAAAAACCAAAACCGACGGTGAAAACCGAAAATCGAACATTTCGGGTCAGGTTTGGGAACGTCGTAACGGGGCGGGGATTGGGGAAATTTTTGGGGATCTTAATGGGGATGGGGACGATACTAACTGGACCGTCCCGACCCAACCTGATATTATATATATATATATATATATATATATATATATATCATTCAAAACCCAATACCATTGGGCTTACCATTAGACATTAAAAATTTTAAAGCCCAAACCCAAATGGAGTAATGGAATAGTAGGCTTTCAATTAGATAGAAACGGATTTCAATTAGATCCATAAATCCAATTCTGATTTTGAAATCAAGTAGACTAAGATATGTCTTCAGTCTTCACGTCGCTTAGAACTCAAAACTCAGGAAAAAAAAGTCGACCATCCACATACCATAGTCGCTAAAATCTCGATCGACAATCTCTCCTTATTGCTCTCATCGCTCGTGGTCATGGACTCTCAGTCTCACTCGCTCTTAGCTCCGCTCGTGGTCTCTCCTTTGTCACTTTGTTCCTAATTAGTGTTTCTTCCGTCTATGCTTAATGTTTAGATTTGTTCCTATTATGTTTCTTCCCGAACTCTAAGTGAAGATTATTGTTGCTATAAAATATTCTTAATCTTTACATAATGTTCCTATTTACTGTTGGTAACTTGGTATTATTGTTGCTCTAAAATATTTAGAACTTGATGTATGCACCATAGAAGTATGGAGTATAATTTATTACTTATGATACTTGGTAACTTCGTGAATCGTAATGTTAGTTGGATTATGTGTAAACTCTACTTTACTTTTGAGTACATTACGTTTTTCGTCCCCGTGGTTTGTTAAAAATTGCTAATTTTATCCTTGTGGTTTCAAAATTTTGGTTTTCATTTCTATGGTTTGCAATTCATTTCTATTTTAGTCCTTAATTCCAAAGCACTACTTTTAAGTATGAAGGAGTAAAATAGAAATGAATTGTAAACCATAAAGACCAAAAAAGCAATAGATTTTAAATCATATGGACGAAAAAGGTAATGAATTATATAACATATGGATAAAATCAAGTGGATTCGCTCCTATAAGCTAGTTCTCACTTCCGAGCTCCATGAGGACAAAAATAGAAATTTTCAATAAATCACAAGGACTATAAACGTAATTTACTCTTTACTTTTAGATTGCAATTTAAGACATTTTTGTTCATAATTGGGTTGATCATGTATTCATGTTTCGGAAACTTTGATCTTCTTTTGGTTTAATTATGTTTGATCATGTGTATATGGTCAAATTCCACTATTTAATCCTAATTTTGTCATGATTTATTCTCAATTTTTGTTTGAGAAATTTGCGTTTTTTCCGGTCCAGTTTCGGGTAAAACCAATGGGTAACGGTTATTTTTATCCTTAAAGGGTTCACGATAGGGGGATCGGGGAAACCTCGGGGACCCGATGGAGATCCTTGATAATATCCCCGACGGGGTTCAGGACGGTTACGAAGATGGTTATGGTTAATGATTTCGGGGACGGGACCCTAAAAACCGGTCCGAACTCGGCCCATTGCCATTCCTATAGTACAACCTAGGCCTCGAGACCCCTTTGCGCCTAAATGGGTTTGAGCCTTAACAATGTTGATTGTGCCTCAATTAGCTCGGGCAAGTACTCTTGCCTTAGGTGACAAGACCAATTGTCACTTGGGAGTTGTTTGGTAAGCGCTTACCGACAAGAATCAACACTCTCACTTATCTTATGGAGTGACATTCCTTGTCATCAAAATGGATTGATGGTAAGCCTTTATAACCCGATAAGTGCTTAATGGGTAAGAGTCATCACCCTCACTTTTTTTTGAAGTATATAATATTTATATACGGCAAATGCAACAAATAAACTCACACACCCTCCTCACCTATGGTGAGGTTTGAACCCTTGACCTCCTAGGAGGCCAAAGGCTACGATACCGCTAGGCCAAAGGCCCTTTGGAGTCATCACGCTCACTTATCGGGTAAGACTTTCGATTCTTGTCTTCCCTCTTATCGGGTAAGATTCTCGGTTCTTGTTATGTTCACACTCAGTAAGGTAATTGAACCGGTAAACGCCTACCAAGGTAAGTGTTTTGTAAACGGCCCCTTGTCCTGCCTCTAGCTCTTGACAACAATGATCTACGTTGAATCTAGAAGCTTGTTGATGTGCATTTTTGTATCGTCTATAAAGCATAAGGTTGTTGTGATTGCAATCAGTTGGAATATGATGCGGTTGCATGTCTTCCCATTTTTGACTCGAAGTTTTTGCTTTAAGCATACCTCTGACTTCTTAACTAACATTGCATTCTGATTTATGTGTCAGGTAATTGTAACATCTACAAATGTTGTATAGTGAGGCCTTTATTACATGTGAAAATTAACATACCAACATGCCGAAAGGACCTAACAACTTTTAATTAATTGCTATTGCATGCCACATTTTTTTATCTACTGTATGTGTGCTTGTGTGTATATATATATATATATTATCTACAATATGTGTGCTACATTCTTTTATCTACAATATGTGTTTCCAAGGTGCCTAAAAGTATTCTTACCAGGCTAGATCAGAAATTCAAAAAGAGTTGTAACTATATGATTCTCCCAATGTTATGGGAAATGAGGATATTAGATTTCCTTTTGATCATAATTTCATGAAACTGTTAGAAGATGTAGAAGTTGGTAAAAAACCATGTTGATGAGAGACAAGTATTTCCAAAAAAATATGGGTAGTTGATATTTTAACTTAAAGATATTTTACTATATGAAATTGTGTAATAATAATGCCAGATCGAGCAACATCACACCTCATAAGAGAATTTTCCCAATCCCTACGACAATTAGGTTTGTTATTTTGTAGTCGTGAGGCCTTCCAGTTCTAGCATACAAATGTTCAGGGCAGGTCATGCCCTGTGCGAAAATAATAAAAAAATGCCCCTAAGCCTTTTTTAAGCCAATGGAACAACGAAACATGCGATTTTTTAAAGAGTTTAGAACTTATTTAAACTGTGTCTCATCCCAATGTTGATTTTTATTAATTATAATAAAAAAAAATACAATGGGGAGGGGGGGACATAAAAACCAAAACCCCGAATACGAAATATAGAATGATAAAAAGGACAAATCCTAGATTAACATCGTGCTTCCTTCTTTTCCAGTTTTCCCTTTTCCAAATTCAAAATATCAAAATAGAAACTTTATTTCAATATATGAGACTTAAAAAAGAAGGAAAACTATAATTAGTTTTTAACTAAAATAGTAAATTACATCCAAATTATTGTCATAGTAAGCAAAAAGTAAAACTCAAAAGTTACAGGTCTAATGACTAAAGGCTAAGGGCCTATCTGTTAGCAGCTTAATAAGCTTAATGGAACTGCCAGCTTATTCGTTCAACTATGCATGACTGTTTTGTAGTGGCTTAATGATATAGAAAGTCACTTATCCAGTAAGCTTCTTGAGGGAGCTTTATATAGAAAGCCAAGTTTTTTTTTCCAAACATGTTCCTTCCAACTGAAAAAACGCTCCTTACATCTACGAAAAAACTCTCACAAACAAAAACTTTTCCAAGTTATACAAACAGATTAATTCATACAGACAACTTTAGCCATATAGAACTTAATAAAAAAACCAATCAAACGGCCCCTAAATCTAATGTAGTAATGCCAAACCTCAAAGTAAACAAAAGTCAAAAGAACAATAATAAATTGTAAAATTCATAATCTATGTTACTGTGCATTGCAAAGAACAAGTGTCCAATAATTAAGACAATATCACAATATGTTGTTAATGTTGTGCAGTGTGCTCCATTTATGTTGATACAGTGATGTGCTCATGTGCATTGAAAATTTCAATTATATGATATTTCAGTATGCAAGAGGAAGACTCATTATCAAAATGACAAAAGCCCCTTAGCCTTAGCCTAGTAGGTCAGTAACCCACACGACGACATGACCCAACTTTATAATAATCAGTTAGAAATTTAGATTTTTTTTGCAAAAAGATTTAAAGATCCATAAATCATAATATGATCACACAACAACTCGGTAAGTTCAATCAACAGTAGAAATCAGTCATTCGAGATTTACATCTTTGATTTCTTGAAGCTAATTTCATGACCGTTAATCGGCTGGAAGGAGAACTCCATGCCTTGAAAATCAAAATAGTAGAACTTTGAAGAACAAGAAATTAGATTTGAGTTGTTGGAATGATGGGGTTAATTGGTTCACGATGTGCATTCAGTATTCATCACTAATAGGTCTTGGGCCTGTTTTTATAGTTAAAGCTCATTTGTCCAATACCCAAATTATTACACCCAAAACTAGTAATAGATGACAACTTGATGCCCCTTTAGACTTTGATTTCCTATACAGCCGCACGGGCTGCACGTGATCAGGGCCGACCCTCCAAATGTTATAACAATAGGGTCCTTGCTAATTTTTATTAGTTATGTTAGGAGTAATCATGGAAATTTGGGTGCCTGATCCACTTGGACTAACGAAGGTGTGTCATTTTGGTCACCACTATCAATCTGGCAATAACAAGTATCATGGACACCGTCTTTCTGTTCAAGTGACCAAGAAACAATACTGCAACTCAATGATTGAAAGTTACCGACTGAGATTATTTCATTAGTTTTGGGATGTGATATGGTTTGATGGGAGATATGAACAAGAAGCTTCCAGCTCTGTTCTATTTTTTACTCTATTTATACGAGATCATATGAAAAATGTAACCATGTTTTTATGTGGTGCTAATGATTTAATAACTATTTTTGTAGCTTCAGTTCCTTTTCCAAATATTTTTACCAATACGCTTGGTCGGGAGGGAGGGACCACATGGCTCCTCTCTTCTCGAGAATCCATACATCCTTTATTAGTGTATGGACAAATATGATCTACGAAATTGGTTAAGGAAGCCTTTCTGATGTTATGCCTCTAGGAATTTTTAGTACTTCCAACTTCATGATTGCATTCCAGGCTAAGCACAACATTCTTATGCATCCAATGTCTGCGTCGAGTTAATAGTTCTACGAACGAATGGATTGGATCAATTTTCCATATATAGAAAGAAATAGAATGATATCGAATAAGTAATTTAAGTTCTCCAATTGAACATATTAACCTTGCATTTATATACCACATAGAACCATAAAACTAACGTCGAGAGCGACGGAAAATAGAAGAAAACATGAAATAGGATTTCCATTTTGTGTTCTCGGCTTCAAAATCGATATGTTTTGTGCAGCAACATGTGCGGATACATAACTGTATAATAAACAAAACATGTCGATCCTTTTATTTATTTATTGTTTACTTTCTTTTTAATTTGTTTATCTTTTTAAGGAGGGAATGTCTTGAAAGCAAAAGAGATGAGAAAACTGGATTTTTGAAGAAGTTCAAAGTTAGCAGAACCAAGAACTTTTGTAATAGAAAAAGAAGGGCTCGGGGAGATGACGGATGATGGGTTCCCTCCGCCAACCAGGTTGATGAATTTTGTCTCGCAGGAACAGGTAAATCATCATCCTTTCTCCAATTCAATTTTCTACATTTTCTCAAGACGTCATTCCTTGCTTTTGTTATTGTTGGTGTTTATTGTATTGCATGATGATACTTCTGTTTGCTCGTTCATTCAGCTACTGTGTTTGAGGGCTTGGTTTATCAGTTTGGAATTGGCAACCAAGGCTCGTTTCTTCAACCGAGTTTGGTCCAATTCCAGTACCAAAATTACCCTAATAAAATGTTTGTAACTTATGGTTTTGGTACTTGTTTAACAGTTGGACGAAGCCAAGAAAACTCGAGGACCTAGAGTAGAGGACGGAACTGCCCACAGAGATCGCCCCCTTTTTGAGGTTTTCCCTTCAGCCATATATAAAAAATTCATTGATTATTTGATCTCTATGTTGCTTTTACTTGATTGCTTCCACTAAATCCCTTCACTTTTATGTAAAGACAATACTCCATGTCTACCTTTTCCACGGTAGTGACAAAAAAAATGCGGTACTTTCTTTGGATATGAAAAATCATTACTTTGAACAAGTCATGCTGCAATGCTGTAACAACTTAAGACAACCGTTTGGGTCTTTCCCTCACCCTCTCCCCCTCTTCACCTCTATATGCAGTATATATCATGCCTCCGATTAATTGGTGTCAACCATAAATACTTAGGCCTTTCAATTTGTTGCCATCCAGAGGTTCCCGATTACCATGCTTTCTACAAATGTGAATGACCTCAGGATTTGTATGGAAGCTTGGTTTATAAAATTCTACACGATGCCTACTGATTTTCTCTAATTGGCTGTCCATGAGTGTCCCAGAAAAACAGATGTAATAGCTCTTGGGGCCATCATGTGCAAAATTAAACAGAGAGATTGGAATGGCTCTTAGGGTTGAAAAGGGGGGACGGAACCCAAGGAGAAACTTCATTGAAAACAAAAACAATTTACACAGAGGTTCCAGATTACCATGCAGTTAGGCCTTTCAATCTGTTGCCATTCCCAATTATCATGTGTTCTACATATTGGAATGACCCCAGAATTTGTATGGAAGCTTGGTTTATGAAATTCTACATGATGCCTACTGGTTTTCTCTAATTGGCTGTTAACAAGTGTCCCAGAAAAACAGATGGAGTAGCTCTTGTGGCCATCGTGTGTGAAAATAAACATAGAGATTGGAATTTTCTGTGTCTTATATAATGTATAGCCATGCCGTCTATATACAAGGATTTCAACCACAAAACTAATTTACAGGGGTTTATTCTTGGCAATGAATTGTAATCGGAGAGAATCTTTTCTAATTGCAAGATATCAGCGATTTAATTCTTTCTAATTGCAAGATATCAGGGATTCTTATCAGTTTCACTTGTGTGACGAGTGACATGGGCAAAGAAATCTACTACTCTCAAATCATCAGAAGAAGTAGGCGATGGAAAGAAATTCATATGGGGAGCTGAAAGTTTTAGAATGTGTAATGACATTTTATTGATGAGATGGATTGCAACTAGTACAAATTGTACCCAATAACGGGAGGAAAATTAGCTTGGAATTTAATGGCCCTTGCAACCTCAAGGAGGTGCTTGTTATCACCATAGGTGTTAAAAGCGTGCTTGAGGCACATAAGGCTCAAGGTCTTCGTGATTTTTGAAGTCGAGGCTAGGCGTATTCACGAAGCTCACTAAGGCGTTGTGCCTTGGCTGAGGCCTATTGTGGGCCTAGGCGCGCCTTATACCTAGTCAAACCTTAATATTCAATAAGTTTTCTCATCTCCTAGACTTCTTAAGAAAAGAGTTACTAAATAGATGATATAAGTCAAACCCTAATATTAAATACCTAGTCCTTAGAACTTCTCCACTCATGCTTTAAACCCTTCTCTCTTCTGCCTCTATCAAAGTATGGCTTGTTGCTGCATTGGAGGTTTGTACTTGCTATGTATTTGAGTTGTGTGTAACAGTGCGTGTGTGTGTGTATATATATATTGATAAGATCCGCCTCACATTCCTCAATTCTCTCATTTTGCTGTGTTATATATTAGCAGAAAGATTGATGAATCACATCATGCTATAGAGGGAAATCTTGTTTTAAAGTGTGATTAATAATTGTGGCCCCATTAGCAATTCTTATCATCTTAATTTTCTATCTGAATTGTAGTGCTTGAGAGTTACTTTAACTCCACACTATGTTTCTTTTGTTAGAAAATCAAGTTTGATTATTTCTACCAAGCAAATGATTAGTTTATCACAATCCAAGTCAAATTATATGAAGGGGATTTCCTATGTGATAACATTTAATTGAAAAAATAATCAAAAGTCACAAAAGGTTATTCTTCTATTCTATGCTCCTTATCAATGATCAAGAAGCCCTTATGAACATAACTGTGGAAGGCTTTATGTGTGATGGAAAATGATGTTTACATGCCATTAGAAGCGTCCAAGTGGCTCTAGAGTGATCATCATAGCAATGAGAAAGTACCTATGCTCTCTAAGAGTAGTATGCCTTTATGGCCTTATACATCTACATGGATTAGGTCAGAACTTTCTGCAGAATAAGAATGACTTGCAGGAAAAGACACAGATGATTGTCTAAGTAAGGGACAAACATCACAACTTTCAAGATTATGATTATTTAGAACATGAAAAGCATCTTTGATACTTTATTTTTTTAAGAAGAAAGACGACTATGTCTTAGCCTATCAGGCCACAAGAAACATTACTAGAACAGGATATGATCATAGGTATTCTGTTGCCAACCTTGGCATGATCCTTTTAGAAGATAGACTGCCTCAAAGAGAATTCCATAAGCCATTACCCTCTTTTATTTGAGCCTGAAAATACTAGTTTGAGAAATTTGAAAATGACAAGGTATTTATGCGTGGAGTTTACATATGGAGTTAATGGCTAATTGATGGTTAATGTACAACTGGACAATGCGCTTCATTGATTTCATGACCGTTAGGAAAGATGGCAGATAGAAGGCTTGGATGGTTTATATAAATGTGATGAAGAAGACCAAGTGTTGATGAGATGGTTGGTAGCACCATTGTCTACAACCCAGGCTTGAGATCGACATACAAATGTATGTAAACGGACTCGAGCTTACATGCACCATGGGAATTTTAACGTAGTCATTGACTGATTTATTTGAATTTGCATCTGAGTTTGCTTTAAATCCTTTCTTGTAAAGCTATCAATCTCTTTGAACACCGAAGAAAGGAAGAACCACACTATACATGGGTGGAATTAGTGAAAATAGGTTTGGATAATCGTTATTCAGAATATAGAGTAGGTATTAGATATGAAAAAGGAACACTGTTTGTGTTGCAGAACCACTTGGTTACCTCAATATGGTTGTTGATGGGTATCAATTTAAAACTCCAACTAGTTTAAGAGAAAATGCTCTATTGTTGCTTATATCAACATAGAAAACTACTTTGTGTAACTTGTTTCAATCGTGGTTTTCATACTATAGTTAATGCTATCAAAATTATGCAGTTATGCTATACAATTTCTGTGACCTTTTAGAGACTTCTCTATGGATATTTTTGCATTAGGTTGTAATCTTTTCAAGCTTGCCATTTTAATTCACAGATCATTGATTTTACTTGTTTAAATCATTTGGTGCAGATATTAAAGGAAAATAAGGACAAAAAAGATGCAGAGTTCAACGAACGCTTCAAGCATAGTGAGTGTCATTTTTTGTTAGATATTGTAAAGAGTAAATTACGTTTTTAGTCCCAGTGGTTTGTTGAAAATTTCTATTTTCGTCCTTATGGTTTTGAATTACAATTTTCATCCTTATTGTTTATAATTCATTACCCTTTTCATACTTGTGATTTAAAATTTATTGCTTTTTTCCTCCCTATGGTTTACAATTCATTTCTTTTTTAGTCCTTCATACTTAAAAATAGTGTTTTGGACTTGGGGACAAAAATAGAAATGAATTGCAAACCATAGGGATGAAAACCAAAATTTTAGAACCACAGGGACGAAATCCACAATTTTTAACAAACCATAGGGACGAAAAACGTAATTTACTCTATTGTAAATTAGGGGTTTACTTTCTGATGTAGTCCCTTATTGTCCTCTAAATTTAAAATTTCTTCTTTGAGATCGAATTTGGGATGCAAAAAGGGAATCACTAAATCAATCTCAATCACATCAAGTAGTAGGTATGAGAGCGTTGATGTTGATCCCTAGAGGCAAATGATTGATTTATCCATTCAAAGCAATTTACGTGTTAAATCAAAGCATTAAACTAAGAAATAAAAAAATCTAAAAAAATTACTAATCTATTTGGAACAAAAAAAAATGATCAAATTGGATGAAAAATGAAAAAATTCTGATCCAAAAATATTTAGCACACCCCAAGATGAGTGCTACTTCCTCGGAGCCTGTGGTAGCACAACCGAGATAACAATATATGTTACATTATTACAATGAAGAAAATTAGACTCGTCTGTGCGACACAGAAAAAATTAGGTTTGGCCCCCGGGGTTAGAAGGCTTATGTTCCGCCCATGCTCAAATCGTCGTTGTCTTGATTGTGCTACCACATGCTCCAAGGAAGTAGCACTCATCTTGGGGTGATTCAAAGTTGTAACATATTAAAAATCTTAAACAAGAAAAAATTATGAACTCAAACATTGTTCATCAAAATAGAACTCGTTGAGCTTTTGCAGTTTTGAAGTCTGTCTTACACAATATCCTTTAAACTAATCTTTTCAGCAATTGGTCTTTCGATAAGTCAAACTGCCATTCAAACACTAATCATATTTTTCTAAAGACATTGTTAAATGACAGCTAATAATCTAAGCAGTAAAATTATATTAAAAATGACTAATCTAAATGACCAAGTCACTAACACATAAATGGTATCTAAAATCACTGTAAAATCTAAATCAACCTTAAACCCTTGATGACAAAAAAATCTAAAGAAGCCTTAATAAAATTTAAGAATAAAAAATGAACAATAGTTGATAAATCAAATATTTTGACATTTTAAATGTTATTTTTATATTCTTGTGAAATTGTTGTGAATAGAAATCCAGTTAGTCTTTTTAGGTTCACATTGGTAAATTATAATATTTAGAGAAAGGCAAAAAAATTACGCTCTTTTTTAACACAAGTGACTAAAATATGAACTTTAAAACGTTTAATGAAACAATGATAATAAAAAACTAAACTATGAAGTTCAAGGGAAAAAGTTGACTTTTCATAAGGTTTCGTTGAATACCCAAAACGAATTTTGGTCGTCTTCTTGACCCATCCCTGTGAATGCAACCAACTTCCATAGATAAATTTTAGAGCTTTAAGTTCTTGTGTTTTTGTATAACTTTACTCTTCTTGTTCGTTGCTCTTTCTAAACCATCCATAACATGCGGCAGCGCAAAGAAGCTAGAAGGCTGGACTTGGAGGGTGCAAGAGCCAAGTTAAAATGCATTTGCATACAAAATTAAGCCTACTAAACAGACAAATGAACAGAACCCCTATTGTGATCCTCCCTAGGTTTGATTGCGCGATCCTTTGATTACGGCCCGATGAAATATGATTCTTCCAAATAACTTATAAAACCCAAACCTCTATTAAAATTTTCAAAAAATATTATGATTTTTGAAATTAGAATTCTTAAAAATCTTCTGCAACAAGTTATTAGATTTGTTGCTAAAATATCGGTATTAAACCCAAAAGTCCTGGCAAATGGCTTGTGGCCCAAAGAAACGAAATAATTGGTTTTTTATAAACAAAATTACGTCATATGTGTATATATCTAGGGGTAAAGCATTGTTCCGGTGCGGGCCGCAAGATTGGTACCAAATTAAGGCAAACTTTGAATACTAGATATTACCTCAAAATAACAAGGGCCAAAGTCGGCCAGTGAGACAATGGGGGATAAGCTTCATCATCGAGAGGGAAACAACCTGGATCACCGGCTAAGGCCCCTAAATGACCGCTCAGTGATAAAAGTCTGAGAGTCCTGCTCGAGCAGGAGGAGCATCCAATCCGTACCTAGGTAGAGGAGGCAAGGGTGCAGAGACAACCAAGAGGTTTGCCTAGAAGCAGCCACCTTTGAAAGAATGTGTAATAGGTCACTGATCGAACGCAAGACCTTTCCACTTCTTGCCAATTAAAATTGCCATTAAAATGATGAAATTAGTCATTTCGAAAAGCAATTGTATCAAAATGATATAGTTTCGGAATTCTAATTCCCATATGCTAACATAATCTAGGAATAATTTTCCATTATGTATCAAAACCACTTGTGTATCCCCTTGGTTATCTACTTAATTCCTTCATAGACAACTAAGCAGCAGAAGGTTCCATTTAGCTCCGCCAATGCCTTCTAGAACATTGAGCCAGGTGATTTGCTGCAGCATAATCTGTTTACAAACATGCTTGACATGACGAAACTAGGCATCAATGTTTAATATTATGCCCAATACAAATGGTATTATTGTTGAGTTAGTTATGCATTACTACTTTCAGTCTCTCTAGTGGCCTTACTTCAATCCCTGATTTCTTTGTGATTGTAGTTGTTCTTGCTTCTTACTGGATATATTAGTAGTGTATACCCTGTATCAGATTCCTAGATTCACCACTGAGCATGTGTATAAATAAATAGTCATGTTCTATGTAAAGGCTGAGTGGGATAACAATTTTGTTTATTTGCTGAATCTTAAAAGTGTGCAGAATTTGAAAAGATAGTTGAATAGTTCATTGTTTGTTTTTATAATTTATTACTGCAGGACCTCCAAAAGCGTTGGATGAAGATGAGACTGAGTTCCTTGATAAGCTGGAGCTGGTAATTTTGTTTTTGATATTAAATTTGAGTTTATTTGATTATTAATTCAGTCTACACTCACCCCAGCTAGTTTGGTGTAAAGGTTTCATTGTTGTTGCTAGTTGAGGGAGTCATTGTCTTTTTGCTGTTTACTGTTGGAATGACTGTTGTCAGATACTATGAAAGTTACCAACCTTCATGCAAAATTTTCTGTGCATCACCACAACATTTTTATCCAGCGTTGGGGTCTTGAGTTTGCTAGAAATGTTTCACATGATCCTGATATAGCTGACTAGTTGACTATTCAAAGTGTTATCATTCCAAGTGCGTGTAATCTATTTGTTAGTCAAATGATGTTATTTGCTCGATTTTATGTGTTATTGGCTCGAAGGGTTGTTTATCTTTGATGGAATGCTGCAAAACTTTTCTAGTATATGTTATGTCAATCCTTTCATACACCCTCATATGTTATCCCGTGCCAGCTTTAAACACACAGCCACATCCAACCAAACACTAGAACATCTAGTTCATATAGTTGTTCATTCTCATGTTACATTTTTGGAGTTTATTTAATTTGAGTCGATTACCTGTGTTTTTTACTGTCTGCGGGCAAACTATTGTTTGTATGATTGGGTATGCTCGACTGCCTTACTATGATTACCACTATCATTGTTTATTCTGTTTGGAAAATGAAATTTGTGTGGGTTCTAAATGGTTCCAAAACAAACTCATTCTTGTCATGTTCAGTTATCTTTTTTTCCTTCAGATTGAATTATTTTCTGAAAATTCATTCATTTGTCTAGTCAAGGAGAGAATATGAGCAGCAATTGGCAGATGATGAAGCCCAACAACTGCGGAGTTTTCAAGTAAGTTAACAATATGTTCTTTTACACAATCTTTGCTTTTAAGTGTGGCGTAGCCTTTCATGCATTATGTTGGACTTTCTTTAAGCAAACTCAGAGGGTGTTAAGTTGCTTAGGAAAGCATAGATATTATTTGAGTTAACTAAGCCTGCCAAGAAGGGGAGTTTAGAAAAATTGAGTAGGGCATGCTTCTTAATTTTAATGACAGAAACCCTCGCAAAGGAGAGCATATGCTTTTCGTGTGAGCTTTTTGGATGGAAGTTCGCTTTTTTTTATTTATAATTTCAACGGTGTTATGAAGTTAAGATTTGATTCTTTATCCATTGTATTTTTGTCACTTATGATCCTGGTTCTTCCCCTGCTATTATGATTTGCACATTTTGAATATTTGTTTGTTGCTGTGGTCTTCCATCAGTAGTGGATCATTGGCATCAAAGAAGTTCATTCTACTGTTTTTTTGGAAGGAAGATATATTAAAAAAGAAAGAAATGGACCTTCTGTTGATGATCGTTCCTAGAAATGTATCATCTAGTCTACTAAAGCTAGGTTTATCTCCTCCAAAGACTCCTTTTTTTTCTTTTTACTCAGATGTGAAGTATGGTTGGCAGTTGCCATCAAGTGTCTTTCTTGATCTTGTTTTGTTAGGACAAGTTAAAATGCACTGTGCCTTTTAGAATTGTTATTCTTTACCAAACCATTTTGTTATGCATTAATGAAGGAAGCAGTGGCTGCACAATCTGCTGTTCTACATGAGCTAAAGGAAACGCCCGTGGTTCCTAAATTTGAGGTTAGATTTGGTTGATACATTCCTGTATGAGGTAGCAGTTTGTTGGATAATTTTATTTTATGCATTTGGTTTGTAGGAACAAGCATCACACAGGGAGAAGAGGACACAGAGACGGTCATTAGGAGTAGTTATAAAAGTGAAGAAAGCAAGGAGGAACTCTGAAGAATTTGAAGGTGTCTCGAGAAGAAACAATACTGCTACTGACACAGAGAGACCCTCAGGGTTGGATATCCACAATGTTGCTACTGGAGGCCTTGTTTCATACAGTGACGAAAGCGATGGTTAGATATATATAGATATAGATATAGATGTCAACTTTTAATGGCTTTTGGTTTCACTGAAAATTCCAGATGCGTTTCAAATTGAAAATATTCCAAGACAAACACCACCACCTTTCATTGACAATATTTATTCTCTTTACAACCTTGTTGATCTGTCGGTGAAAGAAGAAAATTGCTTATTGCAGTTTTTGAATCAAAATGGAAAACTGCATCCACTTCTTGCTGCAAAAGATAAAGTAGTCGAAACTCTCTCCCTGTATCACATTGCTGATGGAATGATGAGTGAAGCCTATCTTGTGATCTGTAACTCGCCCTTGCGGGGTATACATTCAGATATATCCTCACTACCAATCTACGTGTGTTGTGATGTATCATCACAACACTTGAATAACAAACAATTACAAAAATTGAGTAATTCAACAACCATCATTTTTACCATTAAGACATCTAACTAAATATTATAGTGATAACATGGATTCCAAGGTTGCATATAATTGCAGTCAGTTTTGGATCATTTACCATCCTTCATCTTGTGTATAGCAACTGTCAGCCCAGATGGAATATGGGTGATCATAACAGCATTATTGGTAGTATTTGCATGCTGACCACCAAATCTATAAATGTCAATTTCCTCAATTGAACGTCTACCTGCAAAACAACACTTTGATAGTGTTGTTTTTAAGAGGTGCAAAGTCTGAAGTTTTATTTCACTTATGATTGATAAGAGATGATGTTGAAGTCTGAAATTTGAATTAATAAGACTGTTTGTTTTTATAAACTGATAAATATCTGAATTTTTATAAATTGTCTTTTACTCATTAGAAAAGTATAATGTTGAATTTATAGATGGATTTATATAATTTCTCATATTTTATCATCATTATTACGAAATTTACATTTAAATTACATAATCAGCATTCATTTAAAAAAATATATGTCATTAAGGTATTTAACACATTTAAATCCTATTAAAATACATCATTGAGAGAGGTGGGATCGATTTGATAAGGATCGATTGCGAGAAATGGTCGATTAAAGTTAATCGATTGAGAAACATCGTTGTTGAAAGTTTGGAGAACAATAAGAGACAAATAAGAGGTTGGTTTACCTCTTACCAGATAAGAGGACAATAAGACACAAGTGCCTCTAAAAAATTGGAAACACCAAACGGGATGAATGACGCCATCTCTTAAAGAATCAGACATAAGAGACTAATAAAAGCTTTTTCTTTAAAAGACAAACAAGGTCTTTGATTTCAAACTTTCACTATTTTCTACAACAACATACAGATTAGGATGAAAGAGATGCATCCACATGATGGATGAACACAAATAAACTGATAAGTAGATGACTTGAAATACCAATCATACAAGTACATCTTTGGTTTGTAGTAAAAACCCTACTTTAAGAAATTTTCATTTTCTTTTAGAGAAGACAATAACGAGATAAGAAATTAAACAACTGTCATTATAGCATTAGCAGCCCTAATACAAAATATAATCAAGAAAAATTGTCCAGTATTATGAAGAATTAAAACCCCTTTATATATATACACATTAGAAACATCACCTACTTATATAACCATGAAGATTAAAGTAAACGAATAGACAAAGCTAAACTATGATTCATACTCTTAAGTTGAAGCCTAGACATAAATCATGTCCAACTTGTCACGTGCCTTTAACTTGTTATTCTTTTTGGAAAGATGACTTCATCTCTAACAAATTACCTTATGATCTTCAAAGCGACTTTCTCAATACATAGGTAGGTTGATCTCCTAAATGGACCCAAATCGTCTTGATAGCTTGTTGTTTACAAGGAGTATCAACTACCTTCTCATGAACAAAGTAGCAATATACCTTTGTGCATTCATGAAATTAATACATAGTAAGAAGCATCCTTGCTATTACATTACGTCTCCATTAATCCATCCATAAATTCCTTGATTCCGGTGTCAAATGTTGTATCAATACGAACTCACATATTAATTTATTGTTCTAATGTAAATTAAAACATTAAGAAATGTCTGTTTTCATTTATATGGAATGTCTTCCCCTTAGAACGAATTTCTTTTGGTGAGAATGTACATTTATTTACCTATTGATATTCACTATGATTGAAATTTTATTCATGCAAGTGAAAGTGATTGAATGTATGTAAAAGGTCGTGAATGTGGTTGAAAGTGAAGATAAATGTAAAGATTAATGTAGTTTGAAGATATATGAAGTAATGAATGCCTGATTTTTTGTGAGCTATCAATTGAAGGCGGTTGAAATTCCTTATTTTTTTAGCCGTTAGATTAAAAAATTAACTTATTAAAATCCTCATAAATATTGTCTTATCATCATACAATTCCAAGCAGGACGGACCTATAGGATGGGGACCAGGTTCCATGCACCTGTTGTAACACCCCAACTTTTTTTCTTTATTCCCTGTTTAGTGCACGTGAGGAAATATTCCGTCTTGTAAGTGATGTATGTGTTTTTTATATTAGAAATTTATAAACATATTTCTTTTACTATTATTAGGTCCTTTCTAAAGAAAAGATAATTAAAAA